CACGTACACGGAGATACACACACGTACACGCGGGTACACGCACGTACACGGAGATACACGCACGTATCTCCGTGTATCTACGTGTATCTCCGTGTACCCGCGTGTACGTGTACCCGCTGTCGGCCCGCCCGCCCGGCTCCACTTTGAACGTAAGAAATGGCCACTTTGGCCGAAGGAGATTTTATTGTCAGTCAACGGCGACCGACGTCGGAGAGCCTTTTTCATGTACATTGGCATAGCGGGGATCCCAGGGCGTGATGTTGCATTGAATGACCGACAGAGATCTTGGAGTAATCATTCTGAATGATTACGTCTAATCATTCTACTATCTACTTCTTCTATCTACTACATCTACTTCTAATCATTACGTCAGAATGATTACTCCAAGCAGAGATCAAGAAAGCTATCTAGAAAGAGAAATCTAGAAATAGATCAAGAAGCTAGATCAGTGGTCGCGATCGCGGTTAGTAACAAAACAAATGAGCATCCTTAGTGTAGTGGCCCTAATGCACTATTATTTTCGGGATCACCCCTTGCTCCCGGTGGCAAAGCGGGACTGTTGCGTGGCAGTTGTTGCGTGTTGGGTTGCAAGCTCCTGTTGCGTGGCAGCAGGAGACAAACCAAGAGACGAATAAACACTAAACGCAAGCTTTGGGTATACGGAACAGATGGTTTTATTTATCGCTAATACACAATCTAGTTTATTATTAGAATAATTATTTTGCTCTTACCAGGCAGAAGGCCAGTGAAACGTTACGTGCGAGATTTTATGGCTACGGAGTAAACGCGAACGCGACGTAGCTATTGAGATCGCCCTGAGTCAAATAAAGTGTGACGGCACCTGTCGTCGGCTCTCGTCGTTCTCCTCTCTTCTCCCTTCGTTCTTTTCGCGTCTCTCCTCGTTCCTCGTTCTCTTATCTTCTTTCTTCTGCCTTCTATCTTCTATCTCCTTTCTTATATTTCCGGTCTGCTCTCTTCTTTCTTCTGTCCTTCTTCGTCGGTCTCCTCCCTTCGTTCTTCTGTCTTCGCTCTCCTCGTCTCCTTTTTTCTATCTCCGGTCTCCTTTCTTCGTTCTTCTGTCCTCCTTCGTCGGTCTCCTCTCTTCTCTCTTCTATCTTCTATCTTTGATCTTCTATCTTCTATCATCTTTCTTCTTTCTTCTATCTCCGGTCTGCTCTCTTCTTTCTTCTGTCCTTCTTCTATCTTCTATCTCCGGTCTGCTCTCTTCTTTCTTCTGTCCTTCTTCGTCGGTCTCCTCCCTTCGTTCTTCGTCTTCCCTCTCCCCGTCTTCTTTCTTCTATCTCCGGTCTTCTTTTTTCTGTCCTCCTTCGTCGGTCTACTCTCTTCTCTCTTCTATCTCCGGTCTTGTTGTTACCTCCAAATGTCCAATCTTGCTATCTGTCTATATAATTATGTTATCCCATATTTTAATCTCTTAATATTGCAGGGTGCGAAATTAACCTTCTTTGACTAGTATAGTCATGTGGACTACTAGATTTTGTAATCTGGTAGTCCATGAGCAATTCTTGTAGTTCAGTATTTTGTGAATATGTAATAAAGAACACTACTTTTAAGTAAATTTGCTAATTGGTAGTTTAATTTATTTTAAAAAAAGTTCCAGGAAAGAGATATCATTTAAATTATCCGTTTATTTATCAATGTTAGTCAAAACTAACAGTGCTAAGTTGACGCTGACAGTCAAGTAATCCACCGGACTCGTTGTTGTTGCAATCTACTCATCCGTCAGTAAGTCTGCTAGTTTCGGACAAACGAACTACCGTTAATTTCCAACCCTGATACTGTTGAAATATTTTTTAACCCAATCAGGTTGTTATGTACCAATAAAATGTGCTGTTCTATATTTTCAGGATATGAAGGCATTAGAGGAAGGTAAATCAGCTATAGATTCAGTCACTGACTCACTGCTACTATCGTTGCCATTGGAGGTTAGTTTACAATGTACGTGTACATGCAGAGTTATGTTATATAACATCAACAATTTTTATGATCAGGTGTAATCAATGTAATAGTTTTATTATTTATTTCTTCAAATGTCATGAATATAATAGATTTGAATCACACAAGGCAGTAAGGAGGGTTCGTTATATATACTGTGTAGCAATGGCATTGCAAGTTGAGACTGTATGGGTTGCTACATCCATCGTATAGAGTATTGGTATGTAACTCACCTATAAAAGAAATGTGTTGTGTTCAGGATATATTTGTGACCACATGCATGGCGAGAGGTTCTAACCTCAAACATACAGGGAAAGTGAGTGTTATTGCGGGACTCATGGATGAGAGGATCACCAGTAAGAGGCCGTACCAGGATACTTGTGAAAGAATGGAATGTTGTCGTTTTTGTTGAAGGCTGTGAGAAATCCTGACCTATAGTTTTAATATAATGAGAGCAAATTATATATTTGATGACATTTCATATTTTCTGAATTTGCAATCTATTTTAATAAGCTTTCATAAATATTTGCCAGATATACCAGAATCCAGTGCTGGTAGCACCGGAAAGTTATTTAAGCCAACAAGGCTGAATTTTGCCAAGAAGGCAATCTCCGTCTAGGGCGTATTGCTGTGGTTAAACCGCGGGTTTAGTTAGCCGTCTACGACGAGTGTGTATTATGATGGTGGTGGAAAGTGTAAGTCAAATCTCTCTATAGATGATTTACTGGTAAAGGAAAGCGAGGACAGGTGAAACTATTATATATAAAGATCAGGAAGTCAGGTTGTTTTTCTCGAACCATTATGAATGTAAACCATTTCATAATAAATCCGCGTTAGATAGTAGCCCGCTTGCTTAATCTGTAACGTAATTCTCAACGCGCTTCATGATGCAATTCACAAGATAGGTACCTTAGTAGTAACACTAGGTAGTAGTAAAATGAAAGTGTCAATGAACTGTAAGCCACCACACAAAAGGACACAAATGAGTCAGTGAGAAGAAGTCAGTTTTAATTGAGGCAATCCATCGACGTACATTAAGAAACGAAGAAGGTATATATGGGGAGAACTCCCATTATATACTCTTGATAATTTATGTGTATCATTTTTTGGTGAAAATAATAAATAATATTCATATAAATTATAAATAATTTATAACAAAAATGAATCACAATTTGTGACGGTAGATCGTGCTATACGCCGCTTTGTGATGTCTTCTTTAGCATAAATCATTATATATAGATAAAAATAAATAATAATATAGTATAAATCATATGTTCATAGCCAGGAATTTAGCATTAAAGATATTCGTCAATGGAAAATCTTGTAAATACGAAACCAGCTGCCCACGGTGTGACACCTTACAGACTGTTTGTGTATTGTGTCTAATATAATATGCTAATATCGCAAAACCCTACCCCTAATTTGCCTAACCTGAATTTTTTTTAAATATCAAAACCCCTAGCCCTTATTCATTCACATACTACAAAAATGAGGCATCAGCTCCGTTTGTACCTGAATCTGACTAATGGCAATTCTCCATTTTTGCAAAAAAATTGCCGGGCTTCGAAAGTACGTCAAAAATATAGACGACAATAGGACGTTTAATATGGAGCATAGCAGTACAACTATACGCCCGCATTTCAACATGTGGTTCAAACGGTTCTGCCGATTATCGCTTTGACCGTACCCATGTTGAGGGACGGGACGGAGCGGACGGACGAATCGGGCGCCGGCACAATAGCGTCAGGGCTTACGAGTTCAAGGTGAGCTAATAATAACCACCTAATCCCAGGAGATTACATCAATGAAATGTTTTTGGAGCTGAGCGTGGCTTTGTTCTTTAGCGGCGTAGATGTATTTTTTACCACTTCTGGCGAAACCGTGATTACAGTTTAAAAGAAGTTACTCGCTTCGCTTAGCTGTTTTTGGGGACATTTTGCCAGTTGACTAGTATAAAGTTTGCGCATATTATTCACTGGAACTAATTCAGCGGCGTACAGCTATGCCTACTAGCTTGCCAAATTGGCCCAGACTGGCGGAATGACTTCGGCGCGCAGCGCAACGCGCACAACAGCACGCACGCAGCACTGCGCGGCAACGACACATAATAGCATATAACTATATACAGCAGTTAGTTTAAAAAATACAGTGCACGTGTAGCGTGACGTCGCTTCAATTCCTTGTGGGAACTTTTCCCATTATAACATGTGGTACGGGCAAATAATAAGGTCAAACCACTATGCGTCCCATGCACCTCTCAATCGCTAAGACAGCAGAGGGAGGGGTAGGCGTCGTCTCAAAGGAGTAATGCTATGGCGTAAACGACGAGTCGAGACCAGTACAGCCTAGCAAGTCTCTGAACCAGAGCCCGATGACAGCGCCTCATCCAGTCTACATTGAAAAAATACGCAGTCAAGCTGGGTACTAAAAACGCGGGAGGTGTTAAAGAATTGTCGTGCACGCGAGAAACTGAATTAAAAATAGCAATCATTTTGAGTAAATTCAATATCCGTATGGTAAAATAAACTAATAATATTTTACTCACACATCTCTTTATCTTTTACTCTTGCGATTTCTTGCATCGTGCCTGGACCTCCAGACAAAAAAGCAATGTCTATATTCAATGATTATGTAGCTCAATAGAAATTGATTAAACTAGTTTCCTGTCACGGAGCCAGGCGGCTATTTGTTAATCGAAATTTATTTTAAGTGAAGACCTTGATGTTACACAGCAGCCTGATGGTTAACCTCGTCTAACCCTATGCAAATGGCTTAGCTATGGGGCATCACTCCAATGCAAGTTTTCAGTCACCCAAGTAAAAATAAATTAGCGACCCAAATAAAAGTAACACGCAGAAATAACGCCAGCAAGAATATCGGTATTACTCCGATAAGATCCTACTCGGCATCTCAAATTGTTATACAAGGCAAAAAAAACAAGAAACAGCAAAATCATAACAGCGACAGATACACACATGTTACTGCATAAGGCTCACAGTCAGGTGATTTATTGTCAAGGCTTACATAATCACAGGTGCATAGTTTGTATACTGCGCCTCGGCAAGTCACCCTATCAT